TACTGGTCACTAGTCTCCTTCGGATCAAGCAGTATCGAGCGCTAGTTGGCATCACGCCTGCTACCCTCAAAAGGGAGCGCCCAAGTCCTTGAGGCTTGCATCCCTCTGGCGCGCCGCCGGCCTGGAGAGCCCGCCGAGTGGGCTCCAGCGGAACACCACGGAGGTGACGGAAGGGGCTAAGGCTGCTAAGGCTAAGGGGCCGATGGAGCCTCGGCTTTGGGGGTGCAAGGTTAAGGTTCAGAGTTTAGGCTTCAGGGTTTTTTCAGTTTGAGGGTCTGGGGTTCGGGTTTGAAGGTTTTCGGTCAAGGGTTGAGGGGCCTCACTCCGAGCTTTTCTGTTGCCAGCGTCGATGTGCGGACTCGCGTACGGAAGCACCGTGATTACACAGCAGACCAGGGTTTAGGTTTTGCTTTAGTAAAATGTTGGAACTGATACAGAAGCCAGAATACATCACAATTTTTGCCCATAGAGTTCTGTAGGTTAAGTTCAGTTTCGTGTGAGATACCCGCCCCCCACAAAGCCGTTTTCCAGGCTTCCGTAATCAGTGTGAAGCTCCCCGGAGTTGCAGGAGTCTGAATGCACCGCCACGGCCGCCACGTGTCCGCCAGGTTCTATTTGCCCCCTCTCCAAGCGAAGGCGAGAGAGCCAGATCCTAAATTCGATGATTAGAAGGGGGATCCTTACGAGACTTCCTTACAAAAGGGCTTAGGGTTTAGGGTTTAGTGTTTTTCTAGAAGGATTCCTATAGGTAGTTGAGGATTTGGGGATTCGGGGCCACGAAAACGCGAAGCCCTCAATCCTCTCGGCATTCGGGAAGAGAGTTTCAGGTTTGGGGCATCCGAGATGCAAAGCTCGTGATTTGGGAGTTTCAGAAAATGGACAACACTAGTATGAACTCTACACTCTACACAGTAGGCTCCTGTTTATAAGGACCCTTTAATGAAGGACCCCTCCCTTCAAGCCGGTCTCGGCCCACGGGAATCTCGGGTCAAACACTTGCCTTCCGTCAGCTTTTCTTTCAAGTTAGGGCTTGTCTTTGCACGCGGAAATGGGGTCCAGGCCCTAAGCCCCGAAGCCCTGAACCCCTCAATTACTAAGCCCTTGAGCCGTAAGCCGCAGCAGGCAGTCCCGCGCAGCTAAAGAGTATGGTCTTCCTCAAGCTCTTTGGCCTGCTCAGTGACATGCCCTTACGCAGCTTGGCATCGGAAGGTGAAGGCTTCGTCGTTCCTGGACCGAAGGCGTATGGTTCTCAATCCGCGTCTCTTGTAGGGTCCCCCCTAAACCCTAACCCGAAAACCCTAAATCCTAAACCCTAAGCCTAACTAAACCCCATTCTTAAGCACCACCTAAACCCTACACTGCCCTACACCCTACCTGATACCAGTCAGAATGCGGGCACGCAGGGAATCCGGAGGCCCTGAAACCCGTGCGTGAATCAGACCGAGGAATCCTTGAGATCGCAAGGCTTCCGGGGGCGGTTTTCGGGAGTTTTACGGGTTGAAGAAACCCTGTAAAACGAGGTTCTTGCCCCCCTAAATTTCTCAAGGCTCTTTTTTTTCAGCACTGCTTCGACAGGGTTTGCTGAAGAAATGTCAACGTGCTTCTTATCCTCTCAAGGCGGACTTCCAGCAAAGCCACACACCCCAAACTGAAGCCTCTTAACCCCAAGTGCTGAAACTAAGAACAACACGTGCGCATAATCTATAATTTTGTTCGCCCAAACCGAAGTCTCGTGCTTCGCATTCAACCCGAAGTCGTGACCCGCAGCCTCAATCCGCACTGCAGTCTTGCAACCGTTGCAAATCCTGGAGACCGCATGAAATGCGGTTGTCATATGAAAAGGTCCCGTCAAAAAGCCTGGGAACTGGGGAATCGAAGCCCGAGCCTTTCGAAGGACTTCTGGTGTTCGATGGGGTGCTCTTTTTACCTGCTTCTCGGAAGGTACACAACGAGAATTTCCAAGCACTATTCCTAGAGCCTGGCAGCCCCTGAGGCAGTCTCTTGAGAGCGGAGCCGTGTCGCTGCTATCACCGTGCGGGGCTTTGGGGCAACCTGTCGCAAGCTTGGGCTAACAGGGTTCAGGACACTAAGTTCTAGCCATCCCTAGACACTAAGCTCAGGCCGTGTTGGTTCGCACACCCGATGCCCCTACAGCGTCCTGCAGTTTCTTCCTGCAGTCTGAGTTTAGGGTGTAGGGAAACACTCAACCCTAAACCATTCAGCAACCGTGGCCCCCAAACCCTCAGCCCCAAACCGAGAAGTACAGAACCCGAGCCCAAGTTCCTCCTAAACCGTAAGGCTAAACCCCACGAAAAGCCCAAAAAAAACTAAAAACCCCTGAAGCCCGAACAGCTAAAGCTCTCCCAAACCCTAAACCCTTAACCCCCACCAAAAAGCCCGACCTCCGCACACACGAGCTGAGCGCGAACCTAACCCTTAAACCCTATCTAAGAGCCCTAAACCCTAAACCCTAAACCTCAAATCCGCAAGACCCCTAAGATCCTTACTCCTAAGAGAGGCATCCTCGAAGCGCCTTTCTCTGGGCCAGGTGCCCTCGAGGATTTTGAGGGGTTTAGGGTTTGGGGTCCCAGGGGGAAGTTGGTCTGACAGTTCCGGGGGTTCTAAGGGCTTCTGGATGTAGGATTTTTCCGACTTGGGCTTCGGGATCGAGCAGGCGTTTGGGTGTATGCTTCTTTTTTTAATGTTGTGTGTGTGTGTCTTGAGGTATTCATGGTTGTTTTCCGGGCTCTTCGCTGGAGTTTAAACGGGCTCCAAGCTGCGATCCCAAGTCGAAGAAGCCCCACGTAGAGCTCTCATAGAACCCTCGCGAACTTTTCTGGAGAGGGTCACTTGAAGTGAGCTCCAGCAGTGAATTTGGGGGCTAGGTTTAGGTTTTGTGCATCTACCCCTGAACGCCTCACTTATCGCCCACTCATGACACACAGCCCTAAAGCCCTCCACCACGTCTAGCTCCGAAGCGTTTAGGCCTGCAGGGGCTGCAAAGTTGCACCTAAACCATGCTGTACCTGAACCCACTGGAATAGGGGTGTGAGTGCCTGTGTGCGGGGATGATAGTGAGCAATCTTTCTCAGTACCACGGAGCCTCTTGGCTTTGACACCACAGATGCTAAGCATTGGGGCCAAAAGTGCAGAATCTAAGCATCCAGAAGCATGAGCAGCAAACCCCAAGCCTTCAAAACCCAATCCTTGCGTGAGGCGACCTCATCTTCTCAGACGTCAGCGCCATCAGGCGCGCTGTGGCGGGCGAAGTGCGCCGACTGTGGCCCGGAGTGGGATGACTCCCTGGCAGGGTACGGGTTCGGAGGATTGCCAGAGCTTCCAGGTTCTAGAGGCCAAGGCTAAGGGTTTCGGGTTCCACATTCAAGCCTCAAGGATTTTGATATGAATATGAGTCGAGTTGTTGCCCTCATGACGACTGCCTACTACTGCTGCTACTACAATGGCTGATTTCGGTGATACACATGATAGCCGGAATAACGCAACAAGAGCACGCACGCACGCACACGCGCACGCGCACGCGCACGCGCACGCGCACGCGTACGCGCACGCGCACGCCCATGCCCACGCCCACGCCCACGCACACGCCCACGCCACGCCCACGCCCATGCCCACGCGCGCGCTCACCCACAACACACACACACACAGAGACACAGACACAGATACACACATACACACATACACACATACATACATGCATATATACATACATACATACATACATACAAACAAACAAACATACACATACATACATACATACATACATACATATATGTATATATTTACATCTGTATATACACACATGTACAACAAGATATCAAGTGCTTACTCCTGAATTTTTATACTTATACCTATACCGATGTCTTTGCCTATGTCTATCTCTTCCCCTAACCTACATATGCATCTACATCCATGTCTATATTCATACCCATACCTGTATACCTATACATAAGATGTCCTTTTCGGTCTGAGGTGCGGCTCTTCGCCATTCCTGAGTTTCAGGACATCAAGAGAAGCAGCAAGAAGCATCCGAGCAGGGTTTTGAGTACTCGCATAACTAGCTTTGCTAATGCTTAGGAGAACGAAAGCCAGCGAGAGCGAGAGCGAGAGAGAGAGAGAGAGAGAGGGGGAGAGAGAGCGTCAGATCTTCCATCTAGAAAACCTGGTCCAAGTTCATGTGTAAATCGCAGAAATCTCAGTACCCCAAGCTTCTGAGAGGTTTTTGTTGCCGTGACCTGCAGGAGGTTGTCGAGCTGGTGCAGCCTGGGGTAACCGCGCTTTGTGCCTCCCCGGACGCCACGGTGTTGCTCGACAAAAAGAGAAGCCTGTGCCAAGTTAAGTTAAGTGTCCGCGGCTCCGGCATGAAGCCCATGGGCCTAGCCATGCAGCATCCCCAGGCTTTAGTCACCTAGAACTCCCTATGGCCCTATGGGGCACTTATGGCTAGTTAATGCTTTCTGGAACAACTATGTTGTTCCTGACCAGTGGTGGCAGCCATCGAACTGCAAAGCTTTGCTAGGCTTGTCGCTGTGGGTGGCGCCGCAGCGCCGGCCTGAGAAGCAATGCGACTCCTCGGTGCTACCAAGGGCACACCGGGCCCTGGGCCTTGCAAGCAAGTCATGCCTGAGTCCAGAATGTCGCCCTCTTGCAACTAACCAGATCCAGTTGCACCCATGTGGCAATGCAGTCGTCAAAGCCATTTTCGGCCTTGCAGTATGTTGCTATAGCTGGCGAGATGCTCACAACTTCGGCTTCGAGCTTAATGGCTCTGCACGTATCCGTTTCCTTCTGCTTGCCTCTCGTAACACTCAACGATCGTCGATCGCACATGTTAGGACTGAAGAGCGGCATCGCATGTCAACGAAGCAGAAAGCGTATAACGCCGATGCGGTTCTGAGATGAGCTTTTAGGTGCAGGAGACTTGGAAGGCCCGAAAAGCCTCGGGCCTCGGGTGGCGAAGTGCGGATGTCCATCTCGCCCAGGATCCTTCATTGCCAGCCGACGCTCCTGAGGCAGAGGGATGCGCCACCCGGCAGAATCATGCAATGAGCTTAAGACTTAGGACTGAGTTAAGCTACATTGCAGCTACATGTTCTGGCGGAGCTTGTTGGAGCGCTAAGTGAATCGTTCTTTCGGTCACATTCTGCCTCTCTCGCTCGCACTTTGTCTTTCTCGTTACGGCTGTTCATGTGCATCTCAGGTAATCTGGGATGTCTCCGTATTTGGCAGGCAGGCGGCTCGAGACGATCTTTCTTCGAAGACATGTTGCACATCCGGCGTTGTTGGTGCTCGGTGTTTCACTGAGCCGCTTGAGGATTGGCTCCATCGTGTTCGCCGATAAAGTCCATGCTCTCGCGTGCGCCCGTATCTCCAGCCTGATCCCGCATCAACGGAGACCTCTGATATCCTACGGAAGGATGTTGCTATCACTTTCGCAGAGCAAAGTCGCATAGTCACATGTGTGCTTATGGAATCATCGAGTCATGGCTGGCATGTAAGTAATGCACTGATCTTGGGGCCTCCCCGCGGAAGGAAGGAGGGAAGAAGGGAAGGAGGAAGAGAATGAGAAGATGGGCAGAAACGCGATGGACGGAAAGACGAACAGGCAGAGAGACAGACCGACACCGTAGGGACATACGGACAGATAGGCGGGGTGAGGGGCAACCCGTGTTTCTTGAACAAGCGTGTGCAGTAGGAGTTACAAGTTGCACGTGGCCAAGCGCCAGCCCGTAGAAGACAGCGTCAGATAGACAGACAGAGACAGACAGACAGACAGACAGACAGACAGACAGAAAGACAGAAAGACAGAGAGACAAAGCGCTATGTTTTGAGCGGGGAATGGCTCTTGGCCTGGTTTGCTCTCGAGAGTCTGCCTGGTTTATGAGTTTAGATTCAGATCCTCCTGAGATGCGGTCGATGGAGCAACAGTCATTCTTTCATTCCATGTCCGTGTTCCTTGCTTTCATGTGATGGAGCTCCTTGACATCATATCTCCCTTTGTGCATGTTTCGACATAATGGGAGAAGGATCGGAAAGCGGATGGTGAGAAATTAGAACCTACTTCAGTTTCCAGTTATCGAAACCCGGTCATAGTTCACCCCTCCTCGCCAGAATTTCTTGACGCACCCCTTCTGCCTGGGAGGAGGAGAGAGAGACAGACAGACGTCGACCTAGAGACATGCATGCCAGAGAGAAAGCGAGAGAGAGAGAGAGAGGGAGAGAGAGAGAATACACAAGTCACAAACGCAAAGGAAATCGAACAAACCTAGATTCAGATTGCAAATGACAGCTACCGAACCTTCAGCGTCACCCTATCAAATTTAATGCCAGCCCGTTGAACCTCTACTCGATGTATCCGAAAAGGTACCAGCCGGATGGTAGCCGCCTGGCCGTGGCCGGAGACGGCAAGCTTATCGTAGTGGCCTGAGGGATTTTGCACCATCTGAATCGCAGAGCTTTGAGTGTTGAAGCTGCTTGGGATTCAGTGCTTGCCACCGAGTCCGTCTTCGAAATGGAGAACTTCGATCATGCTTTCGACCTGCAGTGGCCTTGGCAAACTGTGGTATGTTGACCTGATTCTAAGTGTACTGGGATGGTAAGTGTATCTCCAATGTACTCAGGGTAGGCAAGCCTCAACACGCACACAGTTACACAGCCAGACACCAAAAGCAGAAGCTCCGAGCACCTTTCGCCCAGCTGATTGCCTTGGGTGCTCTCGGAGCGGAGGCCCTGCGCCAGCTCGGTGAAGGCCATGGCCTGGAGTCGAGGTCTCAGGATGGGCCCTGGCGGAAGTTCTCGCGTCTTCGCAGACGGCACGGCACGGCTGTCATGAATGTCTTTCGAGGCCCGAGCCTGCGGTGCTTGGCATCGGGTGGCGACGATGGAACGATCCGGGCAGCTGACTCGGACTGCGGGCTTCCGACCCCAAGCAAACAGAAACCGGAACGATGCGACACGGATTCGAAGCCCCCTCGGCCAAAGTTGTTGCCACAGGTTCGTCCTCGGAAGTCCAAATTTCAAGCCATCTGAACCCCCTGCAAGTGGCGCCCTGCAAATTGTCAGAAGCAGCGGGCCCAGAGGAGCTCCCGCTCTCAGGACCAGATCCTCCAGCGGAAACGGTTGCCTTTTGCTTCGCTGGGCTTTGGCAGTTCCTGCGGGTCTCACTGGCAGGGCAGGTCTCATCTGCACAGTTGATACTTGCAACCAAGGGGCTTCCCCAACGGCGGACCCTGATCTCTGCACCCCGAGGTTTGGGACCTCGTGCGGAAGCAAAGCCTCTTCCAGCTGTCAGAGTGCAAGGACAGGTTCGCGAGAAGTGCTGAGAGCTGACACTTTTCTGACTTGGGCCCGGGTAGAAACATGGCCCGATCATACCCCACTGATGGGATCGAAGCCCGCATGTCATGGTGGAGTGCTCGTGTGAGAGGCTGCGGAATGCTCTTGTTCCCCTAAGGACACCAACGCTGAATTTCCGCTTCAAGCGGCCCCTAGAAGAGAGGGTTTAGGGAAGACACATGCCAGAGACGTCGGTGGGAGGAGTGCATCTCTAGCTTGAGTTGGAGCTCACGAGGCGGGTCTCGTGTGACTTCGGTCCCATCATGTGATCTTTGCTGACAGAGATCGTGTTCAAGCTTCGCTTAGGTGTCCTGGCCTTCGGCCACCCCAAAAGCAAAGAGATATGCTGATGGCTGAGATGCTTGCTGCAGTAGTTGCAGGTGGAGGCTTGGATGTTGGCTTGGGGTGCATGATTTCGCCAGGGTGTATAGTTTGGAACTTGAGAGACCTTCTCTGCCAAGGCTTGGCCCTTCTTGAGGAGTTGCCCTCGCAAACCTCCGAGGCGGTCGAGGCAGGGGGAGGCCTTGTCGTGTTGTGAGGCGCTAGGACAACTAGGACTTGCTCCGTAGTCCATCGTTTTTGGTGATTGCAGGTCAGCCCGGCTGCGGCCGAGGCCCGGAAGTGCAAAGCTGAAGGTAGCTTCCCACGCGGATGCCCGAAGTCTCTGTCACAGTCTGGCATGTCTTATTGGCACCGGGCGGTCCAGCCTGGATCGCACGAAGCCGGTGTCTTGGAACAAAGCAATCTTTCAGATTTGCTCCTTGAGGCAACCGAGAGTGCTCCCTCCTTCGTCCTGTCGGTGCAGATGGTGTCCAGTACATCTGGAACAGGACCGCTTGCAATGCAAGATCGAAGACATACCGAACCGTATAGTCTGATGCGAAAGAGGTGTCCTCGTAGGCCTACCGACACCGCTTTGCTTCGACACTGCCTGGGGTCGGGTCGACAGGGGTCCTCTGTGTCAGTTGCACTCGGACCGGCAACACCGGATCCGGAAACATGAACCCAGCCAGGATCCGGGACCGGAGTTCGGGCAACAACAAACTAGTAAAAAAAAAGATATCCCCGCAACGTCGAGACCAAAGTCGAGGCTGCGGGTTCTTGTTGCATGGTCTCTCAATGGCAGTTTTCCAGGCGCAAAAGCAGTTGTCCTCAAAGGCTCCGAGTGCAAGCGATAGCTGGGGTGGATGGGGGTTGCCGACAGGCGAATGTATCAGAGCAAGAAGTTCACATCTTAACCCGTTTTTTTCAATCTGCGCTGGTCTCAAATCTTCCAGCTGTGTCAGGCTGCCCCACAAAAAGTCTGAGACTCCGTACTCCGACAACTTGAGTTTGATGCATTTACTTCAATATGTGGTGCACCTGTTTTTCAGAACCTTCAACGACACGCCCTCGGTGACCAGGAGCATCTGTTCCTCCAGATCACACTGCCGCGGCGTCCCCGGACGGTGAGGCAGCTTGCCACTGCGGTCCAGCTTGCTTCAGAGAGCTCTACTCAAGAATTTCGGTTGCTACCTGAGTGCATCCTTGCCTGAGGGCCAAAGAAGTAAAGTGTGCCTACATCGTTGGTCCGATTAGATTGTCAAGCTCATCATTTGCTGCAGCGTGACTGTTGCAGAGCCTTGAGCCGTATGTGCAATTCAAAAGTTGTCACGATCACATCAGGCTTCCAGAGTACTTCAGAGAATCGTTTCTGTCAAGTTGAGAAGCTGTAACATGTGGAGCTCCATCCACCGACAGGGCTTCGTCGTGCAGGTTCAGCGCGGCCGGGGCCCTGATGTAATCTATGTAGTACAGGGATCCTGCTTTCCAAACCGAGTGTGGCTTGGACACTCCGCTGCACATCAGCATTCCGGTGTAGCCGCTTGTCCATGTTTTGGGACCCTGGCAAGCTTGAGGCTGCGTGAGGCTGTTGCGATCGATGTGGGCTGTGTCGACTGTACACGTGGCTAAAAGCAGCTTTCCGCACCAGTTGATGAGAAACAGCCTGCTGTAGAGCAGTCAGCACCCAGAAGAGCTTACGTGGCCTGAAGAGTTGCCAAGATCGAGTGGATGCCGACTCCGCGTCACTCAATCTGGGCCAACGAACGCAAGGCCAGAGCCCGAGCAATTACACCGTACCACAGCCGTCCATATGTAGAGGGAATCGCACAACTGCAGGCTTACAGGGTTTTCGTGAAAAGCCAGTAGGGGCAGGAACTCAAGCGCACTGGCTTGCACTGCTGGCTCAGGCCTGCAACTAGCACATGCCGTTTGGGACCCAGATCTGGCTGTTCCCGAGCCCTGCTTCCCAGCCCTTCCGGACCGCACCTGGAGTAGCAGCATCGCCTACGGGAAACTGCAAGATCAACCCAAGGCCTTGATGCAGCAAATCCGTCCGACTTGCAAAGGCCACTTCCATGATGCACGATAACGGGGATCTCTCCGCCTGCGTTTTCATGCCGCGCCCTCGGCTTCGGATCCAGGCCAAGGGATTTTCCCGGTGCTCGAAGTATTCATCAGACATGTACCCCCTTGGAGCCTCAACTCCCTCAGGCGAGAGTCAGAGTTCTGGAGCATGCAGCTGCGTTGAGCTGCTGGTATTTTGATAACCATGTAAACCCCGGATTGTTGATGGTGTCATCGGCCTTCAAGCAGGAGACATTTCACGATGCTCGCAGTGTTTCAATTTCCTAACAGGACATTGGAATTCGCACCCTTTGATCGGACAAGCTGCGTGCAAACAACCTCCTCTTGCGACACTTGTCACTGTCATGTAGCAGTATTGACTTGACTGGGCTGGGTCACTGTGCAAGCAACTCGGTCAGTAGAGCAAGGCCACACGACCAGTCCATCATGGTTGCGGGCAGAAGCGTCATCGAGCTGCAGGCTCACTGGCAATGCTGCCGGTTGAAGATGTCAATCCTCTCGGATGTGCTGTTGATCGCTCATGTCGGTAGCTGGGGCCGTATCCTACGCTCGAAAGTGTTTCTGTTGAGCCACCTTAAACTCCGGCGGAGGCTTGCAGGGCATGTGTCATGTGCATCCTCCCGGCTTTACAAACTGATCTCGAATCTTGGAAAGTCCGGCCAGGTGCAGCAGAGAAATCGCCTACGCGAAATTGGGCTTCCCAAACCCGCGACGGTCCTTGCGACTTGGCTCTTAGCTTCCAAGCTCTGTTTGATTCATGATTATTGGGGCAAGGGTTCAGAGTGTTGAGTGATTCTCCAATCGCAGTTGACAGATTGAAACCTCCGGACAAGACCAGAGCCACTGTGACCAGCTCGGAACGCATGCAGTGCCGAAGTGGTCCAAAATCTTCAAATTGAAGTCATCGCATGAATAGAGGTTTCATGCCAGCTGTTCGACAAGGTTGAGCCGGCCCTTGAAGTTCTTGTTCCAGATGCGAACGATAGCTCGGAATCCCCAATGATCCAGCACTGACTCTCCGCTCGAAGGCAGTCTCACCCTGCGGTGGGTTTGTTGCGGCAGCCAGCGAGAACACCGTCATGGTGCCATGCTGAGCGTGGGATTTGAGCTTCAAGGTTCCGGAATGCGGGGTTGAAGGCCGAGGGCGCCTGAGAGCGGTTTCCTGGCATAGACGAAGCCAGACCAGACCAGACCATATGCACACACACACAGACATACACATATATGCATGCATACATACATACACACCTTCCAACATAACAGCGAAGCAGCATGCATTCGTACATACATACACACACACACATACATACATACATACATACATACATTCATTCATTCATTCATTCATTCATTCATTCATTCATTCATTCATTCATTCATTCATTCACACACATACATAGATACTTACATACATCACTACATACATGCGTACGTACATACTTACATTATTATATACACCTACACATACACACGCGAACACAGACAGATACACGGACACATAGCCACGGAAATAGACATAGACATGCACATATAATCACATGCATGCATGTACGCATGCATGCATGCACGCATTCATACAACGACAACCAACACACACACACACACATACCCACGTGCGGTACCCTGCTTGCACTCGCTGTATAAATATGCGCCTTTGCACACCGATGTTTATATGCAATACAAATCTATTTACATGCATGCAGGTGTATGTCTCTGCGTTTGTGCGCGTAATTATGGGCACATGCCCATTTGCGCGTACGCATACATATTATGTAGGCATCCGCGTGCATGCATATTTACCTTTACACATACACCTTCAAACAGCTACACATGCACTTGCGCATCCTCGATGAATGTAAGTGCTTCTGCACTCAACTACTCAACTGCCTCGGCATGCACGTTCATGTCAAAAAATCCATGCGAACTGCCCGCAATGCTTCGGCGAATGTATATTCGTAAGCTCGCAGCAGCACTGCATGCATTGCGGCTTGATGTGCATGTCTCCCGCCAGGTTTATCGATTGACCGCTGCTCGAGAAGAACCCATCCTTAGTCGCAAGGCTGGCACCGGCAGCGTCCTGATCCCAAGTGCAGTGGGATTTACCGCAGACACCGGTGCCGCATGCCCAGTGGATAAATTCTGAAGAAAGC